TTTTCATGGTAGAGTGCAGAATGTCTGATTTCAAATCATTGTGGGGTTTTTCTAATAATATCAGTTTGTATACTTGTTAATCTGAGAAGCATGAAAATAGGCAACAAATCTAGTGATTAATGGAAATTTAAAAGTTTCTCCTATTTAGAAAGATTGAAATCAAGAAAATTCTTAAAGTACAATTCTTAATTGAAGAAATAATTTAAATAATTATTTTCAAATATAGTAATAATTTAAAAGTTTCTCCTATTTAGAAAGATTGAAATCAAGAAAATTCTTAAAGTACAATTCTTAATTGAAGAAATAATTTAAATAATTATTTTCAAATATAGTAATAAACAATGATTTCTTAAGTATTTTAATTGTGTTCTTCAAATACCTGAATGTCAATTTTTTTCTTTTATTACAGGGAATTTTTCTAAGAAATACAGCATCAATTTTTTGCTTAATAAAATTGTATTATTTTCACTTTTTCTACTTGGAAATATTTATATCCATGATTTAGGAAAATCTTATAATTTTTATTCTATCTATAATTTATATTATCATATAAATATATAAATAACAATGTGTCAGTTTTGTATATGAATAGTAATTAGTTAAGTCTCAAGAGAATATTCAAGTAATACTTTAATAAGTACTGAATTTCCCTATGAATTACCGTATGTCCATTATGCAGATGAACTGAGGGTTTAACTGAGATCTTTGAGAAAGTGGAAATTAGAATAAATGGGAGGTGGTCAGAACAGTTTGCATATTTGTTCACTAATACTTGTTGAGAGCTTGCTGTTGGCAAGACACTAGGCATACAGCAGTGGATAAACCAGAACCCAGAACTCACTGAGCTGATTGTTTAATAAGGAAGACAGAAATTAAGAAATAATCATATGAAACAATATTCACTTACAAACTGTGCTACCTATTACAAAAAACAAATGAAGGCTACAAAGTGAAATCTTCAATGTGACTTAATTTAGGTTGGGATTTGTCAGTGACAGCTTCTCTGAACATAAGAATAAATTACCTAAAAAAGGTATCAAATGTATCTAGGTGAAGAGTTGGAGTAGGAACAATCCAGGCTGAGAAAACTACCTATGGGAGGATGCTGAGATAGGAAAGCACTTGGTGGGTTTCAAGAAAAAGATTAATGTGACTGAAATACAATGAAGGGAGGAAGGTGGTACAAAATGAAGCTAGATTGAGAAGCAAGAGTCATATCATGCAGGGCTTGTCTCCATTCTAAGATTTTTTATTTTGTCTGAAGTGTAAGGGGAAACCATGGAAGGATTTTGAGTAGGAAATCATATGGTCATATTTCTATTTTTTAAGATTCCTTTGGCTGCTATGAAGAAAATGGCTTGGAAGCAGGCAAGAGAGGAATTGGATAGAATGGTTAGAAGCCTATGCTGGAAGATCATGGAATACAATGATAGGATGATGACAGAATTGTAGAAAAGTGGATAAATTCAAGATACATACCAGAGGTAGTACTAATAGGATGTGATAATGGACTAGATTTAGGAGAAAATGAAGAAACTGATATCAAGAATAATATCTAATTTTTTCTACACAAGAACTGGTTGGTTGATGATTGATAGTGTCACTTAATGACCTGGAGGAACCCTGGGGAAAGAGCATATCTAATAGATCTGAGAGATGGAGATGAAGAGTTTGATTGTAAGACTATTAATTCCACTTGCGTTTTAATTAACTTATATTTCATAACAATATAGCCATATTCCCCAGTCTTTTTGGTTCATATCCTCCACTAGGAAAATCTTAATATAGATTACAGAGTTCCTGGGTACTACTTTCCAACCAGTTTTAATGAAAAGAGTAAGAATAATTAACTTTTAAAGATAAAATTTAGTCTATTATTTTATACTTTTTTGCCCCAGATTACAAAGTGATATGTACCTAATTTCAAATTAAAAGCTCTAAGAGAAGACAGTCAGTCAAGAATTTAGCATTATGGCTAAAACTTCTAAAACATGATCATGTACCTTCTAGAACATACTACCCACATCTTAACGCAAACTTTTCTATGCAGTAAGGTTTCAGGTGTTCTCTCTGGTATTGAATGAAACTTTGAGGGCCAATTTATCTTGCCCTTATCTAAAACTCATTTGAAAGAGACTTCCTACTAACTCTCAATGATTTGCAGGCTAGAGTTAAATGGCACAGTTCAGAGCATTTGGACAGATGAGGGGGGAAGTAGGCACAAAAATAGACAGACAGTGGGATAGAAGTCACAGAAGCTTCACAAGAGAGAATCCTAAAATCTACAGTGAAAGTGAAAAAAAGGGCCTACCTCTTTTACTGACAAAAAGATGGCTCAGTGATTTCTTATTTCACCATTGTAATTAAGTAGTAGGATCACAGCTTATTTTTAAAAGATGGAAACAGGGCAGTAATGACAATAATAATAATATGCATTCAATGTGTATCATGCTTCAGGAACTATACTAAATGCTTTCTTTGTATATTATTTAATTTCCCTTGAGCATCTTTGAGTTGAGTACTCTTATAACTAGCATTTTAGAGAACAGGACAGGAGGCTTACAGGTCATAAACCATTCACCAAAGGCCACACAACTGGTAAATGGGAGAGAGAAATTACCAGAAACGTCTGACTCCACAAGAGGAGTTTTTCCACCACCATCACACACTGTATCAGCACACAAATAAAAGAGGTGACTAACAAGTCACAGCATTTTACTGTTAAAAGCTAGAGAAAAAAATTGTGTATACATTGGTTCCCCAATATTTGGGAGTATTCAAAATACAGGAAATGACCCTACTGTGTGCTGGACCATCCTTTTCTTACAGTGTTCCTGAAGGCACAGCTGACCTCTTGTTGACATTTAAAACTACTTAGAGTTTTTTGTCAGCATAATCTGCAAATTTGGAGATACGTGAATTTTACATGTAGTTCCTGTCATTGTGAATTTCATCCTTGCTTCTTTCCATGCCCTTTAAAAAACTGCTAACCAGTAACTGTTAATTTTTTTCTTTAAACTTCTGTAATTGAAATTCATTTTCTCTCATCTTGGCCATTATCACTGCACCTCTATTCTTCAGCCAGCTTAGATGAATTCTTCCCTAATCTTTTCAAACACAAACCATGTGTTAGTAAATGATTTTTAGTTGAAAAAAATTTGATGTAGTTTGAGCTTTAAAAAACCAATAAAAAAAAGTGAGATATTTCAATTCAAAAAAGTGAAATTCTAAATAGTATAGGAATAGTTGCCTAAGTAGGGTTATTACTACAAAGACACAAATAAAATGAAGAACATGAGATATTCCCCCTCTCCCTTCAGAAGCATAGGTGTGGTCTGCTCCACCTTGAATCCCCCCCATTCTCTTACAGCAGTGATGTGGCAGCACTTTCATCCTCCACTACTGCTGACTAAACTGAATTTTAAATGATGAATGGAGTTGATGAGTGGAAAGAGGCGTTCCAGTTGCGGTGGACAATGTGTACAGTGTACAACAGAGATATGAAGGGAATCATCAGATATCAGGCTAGAGGGGAGAATGAATGCTGATAGGATTTGAAGCTGTGTAGGTAGACTGGGACCAAATTTTGAGAGCCTTTTAAGCCTTATGTGAAGGAGTCTGACAAATAGTTAGATAATGACAACCCACTGGCCATCCATTTTCCCTGTGTTCAGGTGCTTCATATGCTTCCTTCACCTCCTGTATTATTTAGGTTTAAAAACAAAGCTATCTATACCTGCTCCTTTTTTCAAATCCATTCATAGTATATTTCTACAATTCAATACACTTAGTAATCTGATAAAATGGTTCTCTGTATGTGAAATTGATCTCTAACATGAAGAAAAGCCATTACTAGTTCAAAGGAAGCTTATTTGGGTAGAACTTTTTGTAGACTGTAAAGCAATTTAAAAATACAGATAGAAAAATAAAATATCATTCAGGAGAATAATACACATCTACTACTGAAGCCATGGGAGTTCTTTTTATAAAAGACACGTGTCATCTTTTATGCCTGTTAAATTTTTCACTATGCCATAGAGACTGTGTCAGGATTAATGGACCAGCTCAAATGAAGAACAATCACAATTATACCAAGGCTATCCCAAGACCTGTCCAAAATAATCCAGATGTCACATAGATTTATTTTTAGAATTTACAGACCGTCAGGATCAACTGAAGAGAAGAAAGTAGTGTGTGGTGTGTGTGAGTGTGTGCATGTGTGTGTGAGTGTGTGTATGTGTGTGTGTGTGTGTGTAATTTTAAAAGAAGAAAGTGTGTGGTGTGTGTGTGTGCATGTGTGTGTGAGTGTGTGTGTGTGTGTGTGTGTGTGTGTGATTTTAAAATTATAATTTTTTAACTGGATTCATTTTATGTATACAAGCTTAACTTCAAATGTATACATTTTATGCATACAATCTCCAACTTTAAAGAAAATTGCTCTATAAAATTTTGCCACATTTTCTAATTGAAAGTGTGTGCTTCTACCAAGGCAGGGGACATCATCTATTACTGGACCACATGCCAAGGGACCAAAAAAAATGTGACAAACTTTGTAGAAACTGGGCAGCAGGCAAAACAAAATCCTGTTAATTGGTCTAGTGAACTCAGAATATGTTCTGTCCCTCTAATAAATGTTGGTTTTATTTGGTGAGAAATGCGGAATGTTGTTTATAGCAAGTTTTGTCATTTAACTTACTGAAACTGTGAAACAGGACAGGTGGCTATGACAGAGCAATGAATGCACTCTTTCAAAGTATTCATTAAAATCACTAGTCCTGTCCCACCAACCCTTAAACACAATGTGTCAACATCAACACTGGTGGAATGGCTACCAGGCTTCCTGAAGTCTAGGTATATTATTTATCACTTTAATTTTACAACACAATTAAGTAAAGATGGATTTAAGCAAATGTATTTACAGTACATTTGAAAAATCCTGGCATAAAAATAGGATGATGATACAACTTCCCACTTGCTAATTAACATTTGCTTGATCTTAGGAGCATGGCATTCCTACCGGCATGGGCTATGCTGTAGCCCCTCACCACTCGGGAGTCTACCCTGTACATGTTCAGCTTTATGAGGCCTGGAAGAAGGTTTGGAATATTAGAATCACCAGCACTGAAGAATATCCACATCTGAAACCAGCTAGATACAGGAAGGGCTTCATCCACAAAAACATTATGGTGAGCTGCCTCCGGTATGCATAGGGTACAACTAATTCTGCCAGATTTACATTCCTCATTAGAAGAAAGAATGAGAGAGAAGAGCAGAAATGTTAAAAGCTTAACTGTAGGGAAAGCTCCATGTTGCAGGAAACATACTTGTCATATCTAAGCCAATGATGTCTTAATTAAAGTTACTTCTTCTCAGTTCTTCAAATATAACTTTAAAATGATTTTTACTGACACTACCACTATTAAGCAGGCATGACATTAAAATACTAAGGAAACAGTAAACCTAAACTGCAGATAATTTAGAGAAGCCACTATTTCTTCAAAAAGTTAGTGTGTAAAACTAACTTTTTTAGTTTAATATATTAACCATACTGCTTTTTTACAAGCCAAACTCTGTTCTCTTTACCATGTCAGACTAAAAAAAAAATTCAACTATTTGCAGCGTGAAGCCACATGTGAAGTCCTGCATAATCATTAACAGATCATAATACGAGTACAAATTAGAGATATGTTAATTAAATCATTTAATTATCCGCTGTCAAATTCTCTCCGAAGCTTCTCTATTTTGTTTTGTTTTGTTTTTTTACGCTGGCGACAAATGCATATTGTCAGGATATGTTATTATCTAGTACTTTGTGGGACCTCCCAAAGTAAGTAATTAAATTCTAATTTTTTCCCAAATCAGAAAATCCAAAGAGTACTATTGAAGTTAGGAATGGGTCTCCTGCTTTAGACAAACACTGGGAAGGAACACCAAGTATGAAGAACACTGGCACTGTAACTGTCTGTCAAACCATGTTTGAACAGATGTCTACCCTCCAGAATTAGGTGTAACTGATTACTTTTCAGTTTTCCAATGTCTGCAAAAATTACAGAATGGGTAATGACATTTAACTTGGATTAACTCCCATCTTGACTTTTCCCTCAATAAAAACGGTTATAAATGCTAGATGGGGCCATAATGACCATATTTTATCCCAAACTGCCCTTCCTCTTTATTGAAAATGAACTCACTGTGCCTCAAGCTGCCAGCCTTCTGACCAGAGAGAGTTTAGAAAGCCTGGATTATATTATAATTTAAAAGCATTCAATACCTCCTGTAGTTTTTAAATCATATGCAGTCTTAGTAGAATAGTGAATGTAAGTCTCTAAGGACTTTATTCAGTGTTATTCTCTTTTGTTTCTCTTATCCACTCTGCTGCCAGCAAACCTGCTTGGATATGTCACATGAGATACACTCATTTTCATTTCTCATGAAAACATATTTTACCTGTATCAGAAATGCATGAATCTTGCAGGTGATAAAGGCTCTAACAGATTTCCTGTTCTGACGAAACTGTCCCTGTGGTTCCTTCCACTTTTGCAGCAATCCATGGAAACCCTATAGATTTGCTTTGTAGGCTCTTGGCTGAGAATGTGCAAATGGGAATTGTTCAGCAGGCAGCTGTTTATGCAGTTAAGAGAGAGAGGACAGGGCCTGGAGTCACCCGAATAGAGCTGCCAGTTAGAACACAAGAGCCAACATGCCCGGTTAAGCAGAGACTACAAAGGAGAAAAGATCAGGGAAGGGAGGGGTTGACCTTACTTAGATCAAACATATTTTCTTTTATGAAATGAGGGGAAACTTTATTGTCATTAAAGTTGATTGATTCATAAATCAAAATTAAAAGGCCTTAAATGAAACTCACAATCTTCCCTTTGAGCCAGCTATTGATCCTGCTGTCCCTAATTCAGTTCTGTAATTTGAATATCACGTCACCTCCCTCACCTTCCAATCAGTGTCTACATTTCATCAATAATTCCCTTAATAATTTTTTTATTTTCTTCCCTCTCCCAGAGACTAACTACTTTGACTTTCATGTGTAAACTATGGTACTGATTCCCACTTTGTCTATTTACAGCTCCTCTCTATGTCCCACTGCAGTCTATCCTATAGGCAGTGCCAGCCTTTTAGTCTTTCTAAAATGCCACCTTCATTTGGCCTTCCTAACCTTGATTACTTGCAATGATTTACACATCCCTTAACTTACTCCTTCAGGGACCCGAAAACAATTCGTACTAAGTCTACCTTTTTATCTTCTTTTTCCTATAGTTAACAGACTCACTCCCACCAAAAAGGTCTGAAACAGTTTTATTACGTCCATGCCTTTGTTGTTCTTTCCACCTCAAAAGACTTTCTGACCACTTTCTACTTACTCCTATTTACTTTGTTTCTCATATCAAGTCCTGTTTTTTTATATAACTTAATGTAAAGTACCTTGTTCTATGGAATTTCAATACCATAGAATTAACCCAGGCCTACACTGATCTTATTCTCCTCTGAATTCCTGTAACATCACCTTATAACTCCACTAGGAACATAAAAGCCTGCTATGCAAGGTGTTTGAGCCCGAACCAGAGTCTCTGAACACCCGGTCCTATCGCGTTATCTTGTCTATCTTCATTCAGTAGGGAACTGATGGGAAACAGGATTCTCTACCCTAACCCCTGGTTGTTAAATGTGATTCTCTTGAGAAAATCAGAGAGCTCTAAGCAATTAGACTATAGATTCTGATTATCTACTTACTGTTCTTAATGGAAATGCATTTTGATAGAGACTCTTATCAATCCTGCTGGCAGCACCCTAGATGGTCTCTAATGGTAGCTTCCAGACACATTTGTTGTCAGTTATTCCAGATTTAGGCCTTAGGTGCAGGAAACTGGCTTCACAGAATGTGTTCAGTGTCCTGGAGCATTATGTTCAGGGAGCAAGGCAATGGACTATGACCCTATGACACCCCACCCATCTCCTCAGCTGCCTGTGGCAGCCTGCTGGTCATCCCAGAGCTCATGGTAGCTCTCCTCCTCTCAGAAGGTATGCATGCTTCTCCCCAGAGATGCAGAGTGAAGCCTGATACTTCTTTTTCCCTGGGTTCAAACTCAAACAATTTGAGAAATAAACAAAACTCAACTTTCTTTTCACTTCTTTCTCCATTTTGCACAGAATCATCTAGGCAATCAAGTCCCAAAGATGGCTCTGTATGTTCCCATAATTTTTCAAACAAGACACTCAAACTGAATCCTAAAAGTTATTCAAAATAATAAACTTCTAAAATGCAAAATAAACTGGCATTTAATCACATGTAGACATTTCATTATTTCGGTTTTGGGTATTTCTCCTTACTCCACACTGTAAATCCTTCAAGAGTAGAAAGCGTATTTTTTTGTGTTCTCCCACATGGACTTCAATAGAGTTTAGAATATGTATTTGTTAAATAAGTAAATAAATGCATGCTTTATAAAGCTTTGATTTCTAGGAAATCACATTTCCATGAATTGTTAGGGAATATATTTAATTCAGTTAGAAACTCCACATTTAATTCTTTTTTGTCCTTGATTTTGTATATAACATTGCGAGAATGTATGTTTTTAAACATAGACACCATTAAAGCTAATACTCAGCAATAAACTGAAGTTCTATTAACTATTTCATAAAAATAGCTTTTAAAGATATAATTTTTACTAATTTATCAAAATAAGTAACAAAGTTTTTATTTATACAGTAATATATAATGTACTGATTGAGCTGAGAATTCCAAGTGCTAGATTGAAATTTATCATAACACACATTCAAACTAAAGAAAAAGAGCTAATATATTTGTAGAGAGTTGTAAAGCTTGGGATATCCTTTACAGGTATTATTTTAAAAGCACTTACTGACTCAAATGTGCTTTAAGAATAAAAACAGAAAATGTAAAGATCAATTTGCTGAGTACAATAAGCAGAAGATCTGTTTGTGATTCTGTATACTGTAGCTCTCCAAAGTATATTCATTAATTTTCTACTACTTTACATATAGTGTGATGATAGACACAGGTCATAAAGAAGTCATTATATAAAATTTAGCAAAAGATTGTGCCATTTTATAGGGCTTTAGCTCACACTTTCTTTTATAATTGCACTGATATTTTACCAGAAAAACTATAAGAATTTGAGAAACATTTGCCTTTATCACAAATGTATATAATTGAAGCAAATAATGCCTCTTATATACAAAAGCTGAAAAGACGACTCCTTACTAAGAGATCTTTTATGATTTTGTTTGTAACACTTCATAAAAATTACAGACAAAACTCATAATCTCTTTTTTTTTAAGGAACTGGCAAGCTACAGACTTAGAATTTGGAGCCTACTATAACCTGCAGTCATCCTTTCAGACTAGAGCAGATACTATGATTTGTGTTCCAAATTCTTGCTCTAATTTAAAATGTCATTTCCTAAAAATCACATTAATAATTGACTTCATTTTCTAATGTATGTGTAGAATCTGGCAGAAAGTATTATCCCTAAAATTTCTGCCTGCTAGATTTACAATGTAGCATGAAAAATTCCAATATTTACAAATTTTTAAAGTCTCCTTTTACTTCTTTTCTGTTTTATTTTTAAGATGCTAGAACATACTAGGCTTCATAACAGAAGTACTGACTTGAAGATTTAAAATAGATAAGTAGCTAAAATAATCCAGGATCTATCCTAGTTTTAGAAGGTTTCTTTAGCTTTCTTCAGTATTCCTTCTGTACTGACATCATCCTCACTTTCTGAACCTTAGTTAAGAGTTGAATAATGACATCAACTTGTGCATCATTTTTCATGAGGAAAAAAATGTAAGTTTCAAGAAATTAATTGGTTGAAAGAAACTTTTACCTTACTTGTTCATTCTTTTTTCAGGTTCTTCCAAGACAAACCTGTGGGCTTTTCACCCACACAATCTTCTACAAAGAATATCCAGGAGGTCCTAAAGAGCTGGACAAGAGTATTCAAGGAGGTGAACTTTTCTTCACTATAGTCCTCAACCCAGTAAGTACTTTGGGTTACTCTTCAAATAAATAATAAAAAATGACAGTGTGAATGAAAATTACCCTGACAAAGAGGCCAGGGTTTGGGTAGTTATCAGCCAAATCAATACAAAGTTCTAGTTCTAAAACAGTAGTAAGAACTAAATGGAACCACATATAGAAATGGTGGCAAACCCATTCTACAAGTAGAAATAACATGAGGAACTTATGGAAGAGCCAGGAAAGTGATTCAGCAGACTCTCCTCTGCATTGGAAAGCAATCAGAATTCAGAGATTCTTGCTTTTATAGCGCATAAGAATTTCACCTATAAAACTCTCTTATTCCCTCTGCAGACCAGTTTCTCATTTAGGTCATTACCTCTGTTATTCTTTTTTCCTATTTAGAGTAAAGGTATAAGCAAAATGAGAGAGGAATTAGATAAGCAAATATAGCCATTTTGGTACACTCCTGGGAGATCTTGTCCCACTGGGTCTCAGGTTGGGGGCAGAGCAGCCTGTTTTAAAGAGCTACTTCTTCCTCTTTCACTTCTTAAAATTCATCTGCCAGCTCCACTGGGAACCATTTGCACATATTTCTACTTGAGGCAAGCATTATAACATTAGAGAACTAATTGAAGTAAGGTGTATAAAGAAAAGAAGAGATTTTATTTCCCTTCTGAAAATCACTAACATAAAAAGTAAAGCTAGGTTTACTTATCAAGAGATGTATGGATATTTCATGACATTAGCATATTCAAGATAGTAAAAATGTAATTTTTCAAATGTGAAAAAATTTTATCCCCATAAAAGTCAGATAAGATAGGGGTGAAGAGAATGAAGTGTTAAAGGCCCTTGTCTTGACCATAATTTTACAAGTTGTGCAAATAAAATTTCAGGTATTTTTCATCATCTTCTAATATTCAAGAACTCTATTTCTCAGCTCCTAGAATATGAGCTGGAAATAAGGATAGCTCATCTTTGGGCACAATCAGCATGTATATCTGAAAATCAGGATAGTTTGAAGTAGTGTGGCATGTGGCCTTTGGAATTATCAACTTTCATATCCCCAAAATATAAATAATTCTGATTTATATATCAGGAATAATCTGAGTCTTCTAACCTATCTATTCTTTACAAATGAAAATATCTTTGCAATCATCTCATATGACTTTCTTCTTCTCTTTTTTTCTCAATTCAGCCAGTAATACACAGGCAAAAGAGTTAAACCAATAACTGATTATGAACTGAAGTCTTGATTAAAATATTCTTAATATGCTAACATTTTTATCAATAATTTTAAGAGTGCTTTAATCTGTAATCTATAAAACTCTAAAGTTTTGTACTTTATTTCATCATAGAACAGTAGGACTATGAGCATCTAATTATCCATTGCTTCTTTTAACCAATAGTTGCTTTGGTACATAAGATATTCCTAGTGGTATTGTAATTTCAGAACTTTCTAGACCAAATTAGCTTCATGTAACTTCGAAGAAATTCAAAACAGATTATTCATGTACAACAGATTTATAAGAAATATTTTTCACTAATTAGAAGCTAAATTATTTTCTTAATTAAAAATAAATCTTATAGTAAAGCTTTTATTACTCTTGGGTACTAAACTAGCTGAAAAAACTCTAAATGTTTAGGAAACCTTGTTACTTTTCAGGCCTTTGTCAATAACACTTGGCAGTTTTGTTTGTCTTGATAAGGAGACCCACAGGGAATAAATAAAGAAAGCATCTTCTCAAAACTTGTTCTTTAGTGGATTCAAAAAACTTTGTTAGATAATTGCTTTCACATAAATGCTGAGATTCAAAATAAATGACAGATCTTATCAGACACTATGAAACAGGCAAAAAAATCCAAATTAACTTCTAGCATGCCAACCCCGATTTCTACAAGCAGACATCCCTGGAGGTTTATGATTGAGAAACTCAATTCCAGACTCAGGCCAAGTCTTGCCTGAGGGGAGACTCCTGTCATTAGTTGATGATGTTTACATTGCAGAACTGGGTGTGGAGTGGTGGCATGTTTCCCATGAAATCTCCATCCCCAAATTAAATATTTGGATAAAGTCTGTGTTAAAATTAAGGCAGGTCCAGATATAGCAAGGCATGGTATATGGTGGTATATTCCTGGATGGACAGGTTTCTCAGATCCAGGGGAGATGGCTGTGCTACAGGATAACACAGAATATCCAGTATGGATATACAGCAAAGCATGCTAGTAATTTAGCAAATGACACTCTTTTTAGGACAGAATGAGAATGAGAAAACATTCATGGAATCAAAGTAGGTATTCACTTCAGGAAAGATAGAGCTTTTAATTATAGTGGATTTGAAAGGTAGCCATTGATATCCAAAGTAATACCCAGGCCTCAATTAGAAGTGCCATTTTCTGGGAAGGCTTAATGATTTATTATTTACTACAAAAAAGTAGATGTAAATTGGAGTCATACATATGGCTCTTAAATATAGCAAAATACACATTTGAGTGGAAAATGAAAATACGAGCAGGACTTTAATTAATGTGGTTTTCTTTTTTCCATCTGTCAATATGATATCAAGATGCTACAATAAGTTCTACCAGTAGGTCACTGGGGTGAGAGGTGGCTGTAACGAAGTGCCTCTCAGAGTTAAACCAGAATAGATCACAACAAAGATAACTAGATTTCTGGCCTAAAATGTTCTGCTCTTAGCAAAGTATTTTTCATTGCTATTGAAAAAAGCATCAACCAAGTAAATTTAATACAAATAAAGAGTTACAATGATAAATGTTAGCACTATCTAGGAAAGAGGAAACCTTAGTCTTCTCCAAATGAGTATTTCTAATGTTACAGGCCTACACACCTCTGACGTGAGTTGGGTGCTAAGATTTAGATTAACAGACTTTAAGGTTCAGGTGCAGCTGGGAGGTGGGCCATCAGTCAGTCAGAGCCGGACCATTAAGAATTCAATTCTTCTATTCTTCTTTCTGATTTTAAACTCAGCCAGCAACTTCCTGTTTAAAGTTCATTTTCTATACAGAACTACTATAGGAAAATAATATGTTGATCATAAGCACTTATGCTTTCTGAACAGTAATTTGCAAAGCAATTTTATAAATCTTTTAATTGGTAAATACATTCCATATAACCTGACTACCAGGAGAGGATCCTCTGGTGGTACAAATTCTACTTCCATTCCTCTATGATTTATAATTCCCCATTTTAAACTAATAGATGGCATTCTGTTTTTATTTATCAGTCTCATAATCTTTGTTAATTTGATTCTGTCTCTGGGAAATGTATGCACTCTGTCAGTGTACTGAATCAGGCTGGAATCTTTCAGACCCTGATGTGTTTGTTGATTACCTCAGGGTAGTAAGAGTTACTTATGGATATTCCAGGGGGAGAGTGCCACTGGATTATCCCAGAGTTACTGCCAGCTGCAGATACACAAGCACAGAATTTCTATACAAACATGTAATAACACCCAACACAAATATTTTTGATCAGTTCATAGGACTACAAGTGTACAAGTGCCCTCATATATACCTTTTAAAATAGTGAGAGTCTACTTACTTTACATACTTATATAAAATAATACATAGAGAGGTACTAAGAACTGAAATTTATGAAGATGACAAAGATGCATTGACAATGGCTGCACCTGCCCTCAAACAGATCCTATAAATTTGTGATGTATAATTACACAAAGGAACTAGTAAGTATACACTGTCCCTTTTAACGAGTTTCCAGTTCCACCTATCTTAGGAAGATGTTCTAATACTTAACTACTGTGACAAGTGGAATAGTTCTGGATTATATATGATTGTTCCTTTTGTGGGAGTCATATTATCTCCTATTATTCTGAAAAAAGACCACCTTCCTGTTCCATTGATAAATTATTCTGAGTCTTTGCTTATGCTCTTGTTCAGTAAACAGACTTCAGACATTGAGTCAATAACAATTGGTATTTGTGGAATGATTTGCCTCCCTCCAACTTGATAATAAAGTCAGTGCTTGCTTTACTTATTAATCCAGAAGAGTTGTAGATTGTCATGAGATTCATGCTCTTGCCACACTTCTTGGAATTCAAGTGGAGCAAATCCCTGACAGCATAGCAGCATTACACTTCCTTCATCGAACATCCCTTCCAAACAGTAACTAACCCTTTTATGCCCATATTTTATTAAATATTTTTCACATCTGTGCTTCTCAATTTGATGTAGCAGCCATCCACTGTACTATTCATACCATCCTACCCAAACCCCTGAAAGCTAAATCTAAGCTGTATTTCTCTAAAGAAAAATCATAAACATGGATGTGAATAGAATAAATGTCTTAACTAGGAGTAACCCATGAGTAGATTACAATGAAAGTAAAACAATGAAATTCATACAAGATGATGACCTGAATAAATAGAAATTAACTCATATTGAAATTTTTTAAGACAATAATATACATGTGTAGGGGTATGTGTGTTTACCTATAAAATTCAACTAAAAGGAAAGTTTTTGGCTTAACATGGAATTTTATGTTTCTTTCTTTTCTTATTTACTAATCCTGGAAAACATTGTGATAATAGAAAACCCCTTATTGAAAAATTAGCAGAAACATAATTCCTGAACATGCCTAATAATGAGTACTAGCTGGATACTTGAAAAAAAATCCAGACTTATTGCATTAGAATCTCCAGGGGACAGTTTTGAGGTACATGCATACTTAGGAGTTTTAGATGATCCCCATAATCCAGCAAATTGGGGAGATACTGCAGAGAAAGAATATGGAGAGATAATTTTGGTAACCAAAGATTATCCAAAAACTGTTACAGATACTGCATACCTACAGTCAAGGTGTCAGAACTGAAAACGAGCACAAATCTTCAGTAGTTTTTTTTTCTATATTTGCACAACATTAATTTATTCCTACTTTGACCTTAAGCATTGTAACAGAATTGTGGTTTATTCATTTGCATAAATGTAGATGGTATAAAACAAATCTTTAAATGAGTTAATGTATGTGAAGCACTTAAAGAGGGT